CCTCAAGTAGAGCCGGAGTAATTGTTGCATGAGGTGTATTTTGTCCGTAATACTCCTCCCTTTCACAAAAGCGGCTTGAGCCTCATCAATGATGGAGTTGAAGACTTTGCTAATTCTTCTTGCAAGGATTTTGGAGCAAATCTTGTATACCATATTACAACACGCAATTGGCCAAAAGTCCGGTACTCTCGAGGAGTGAGAGGACTTCGGGACGAGCGTGAGTGCGGTGTGGTTCCATTGCTTTAGGAGGGACCCGGAGCGAAAAACTCTTGAATAGCCGCAACTACGTCATTCCCAACAATGGCCCAACTCTCCAAGAAGAAGGTAGAAGTGTAGCCATCCGGGCCCGGTGACTTACCTCCCTCTATGTCTCTAAGGGTGGACTTGATTTTGGCCTCGGTCACCGGGGCAATAAGAGAGCTACAATGCTCGGTGCTAACACTCAGTCCCGCTCTAAGGATTTGGGGCTCCACGTCCTCCGTTTCTACTCCCATTCCCAAGAGAGCCTCGTAGTAGCTAACGAATTCCTTAACAACATCCTCCGTGGATTCGGTCACGAATCCATCCTCCCGATTAATCGATGCAATGTAGTTCCGTTTTGCTCTCTTCTTAACCAAGCCGTGGTAGAATTTGGTGCATTTATCATCTTTGATTTGATAGTTGCATTTGACCTTTTGTTGATAAAAGAGTTTCTCCGCTTTGGCCAAATTGAGTGCTTGAAGTCTAAGAGAGGGCATCTTAGACTTGATATCGGGATCATCCGGGTGATCGTGGAGCCTTTGTTGCGCTTTTTCGAGTGCATTTTTTGCTTCTTTGGCTCGACAAGAAATGTGGGAGTAAGCTTTTTCATTGAGAACCTTTAGCGAGCTCTTGAGGTTCTTTAATTTGGTGGTGAGGTGGAATTGTCTCGATCCCCCACCACCTTGTCTCCAAGTTTCACGAACACAAGGCAAGAAATTCTCATGAGTGATCCACATGTTGAAGAAACACCAAGGTGACCCACTATTGGCTCCAGCCTCAAAGATCGTCACAATACAAGGCGAGTGATCGGATATACCCGGGGCGAGAAATGTGGCATGTGAGAAGAAATCGGCATTCTCTCAAAGAGGATCCACCATGACCCTATCAAGCTTGGACCAAACATGGTTATTGGTCCAAGTGTGAAAGAAACCACTTGAGGGGATGTCCAATAGTCCCAAGGTATCACAAGCTTCAAACAAATCCATAGTGTCCCGGTTAGTAACTCTCTCCCCTTTTATTCTCTCATCCAGATTGAGAATAGCATTAAAGAGTGGTTACTAACCTTACAATGGATCATCCAATCTAGTAATTAAACTGATCATCCCCCGAGAGGCCTTAAGCTCATTCCATAATAGTTTTCGGTCCCCTCTTGAATGAAGTCCATAGACAAAGCTAGTAATAAAAGAGTGGTTACTAACCTTACAATGGATTTTTGTAAAGATGACTTGAGGCATAGTGCCCTCCACCGTAATGTCCACTCTCGCGGGGTTCCAAAGCACAGCAATACGCCCACGAGCAACATCATCAAAATTTTCACAAAAAGCCCAAACCGGCAACCTCCTACACATAAAGAGAGCAAGACGCCTATTGTCGGTTTTTGTTTCCAAAAGTCCCAAAACATCAATGTTATTTCTACGGATGAGGTTTACCACCTCATCTTGTTTTAAGGGCCCGTTAAGCCCCTAATGTTCCATGAGGCGATGATCATTGAGAGGAGGAGGGGTGGCCCCCCTCTTCACCGAATTTCCCTTGCCCCCATATTTCCTCCTGCTTGGTTTGTCTCTAAGCTTGGAGTGTTGACCCGAAGTTGCGGAGGCTTGGCTCGCGGCTCCACTTCGGGTGAGCATCTTGTTGTACTTCCTTACCACATAAAAAGAGTCATTTTCGTTATCTGGAGGAGGGTTCTCATAGTTTTGGGGCTCCGGGTCCCCGATTGGAGATGAGGAAGAACCGGCATCCGAGGTAATGGTCACCGTCTCTTTCCCCATATCACAATTCTCATTCCCCTCATTCATTTGATCACATTTGCTTGGTTTATTCCTCTCGACCTCCATCTCATTGGGTTTATGTCTCTCCCCTTGCACTTTGTTAGTGTCCCTCCCTTTCTTGCTTGGTTGCACATTTTCTTTTGGTTGGTGTTCTACCACTTTCTTGGTAGTCACCAAGGTTTCGGCTTCTCCGACCGGTTTCTTGACGTCAACTTTTTTCTCAACGTGGGCTTGTGTTTCCCACAATTGGAGGTAGAGTGTCAGTCCCAAGCAAGTTGGGGTTGGCTAGAGATAAAACCCAAGAGAAACAATGGTAAGAGAAACACAAAAGGGCTCAAAACAAAAGGAAGAGATTGGAGCAAAAGAGAAAGGAGCAGAAGTCACGGTTCCGGCACGTTGATTGCTAGCCTCCAAGCGCTCCTATCCACCGCTAAATACTTGGAGATATTCCAATCTTTAAGGTCTCTTTGAACCGACTCTTCCCAAGTAGTTTAGGCCGACCTCTACCTCTCTTTACATCATCGACTCGCTGTAGAACTCCCCTACGCACCGGTGCATCAGGAGGCCTCCGTTGGACATGTCCGAACCACTTCAGCCGATGGTGAACCAAATTCTCTTCAATTGGAGCCACCCCGACCCTATCTCAAATATCCTCATTCTGGATTCTATCCCTTCTTGTGTGTCTGCAAAACCAACTCAACATACGCATCTCTGCTACACTTAGTTGTTGGACATGTTACCTTTTTGTAGGCCAACATTCTGCACCGTATAGCATTGAGGGCGAATCGTCGTCCTATAGAACTTACCTTTTAGCCTTTGTGACACCCTCTTATCACAGAGAACGCCCGAAGCTTGACGACATTTCAACCAACCGGCTGTAATTCTATACCTAACATCTTCATCAATGCCGCCATCCTTTTGTAGCATCGAACCTAAATACCGAAACGTCTCCTTCTTGGCCACCACTTGCCTGTCAAGGCTAACGTCACCATCATCATGTGTAGCCATGCTGAAGCGCACATCATGTACTCGGTCTTCGTTCTGCTAAGTCTGAAGTCTTTCGACTCTAACGTGTCCTTCCACAGCTCTAACTTCCTATGTACCCCTGCCCTACTCTCGTCAACTAGCACCACATCATCAGCAAAGAGCATACACCAGGGGATATCACCTTGTATGTTCCTTGTGGCCTCATCCATCACCAAGGCAAATAAATAAGGGCTCAATGTTGACCCCTAGTGTACTCCTATTTTAATTGGGAAGTCGCTGGTATCGCCCCCACATGTTCGGACACACGTCATCACATCCTTGTACATATCCTTGATGAGGGTAATGTACTTAGATGGGACTTTGTGCTTTTCTGAGGCCCACCACATGAAATTCCTCGGTACTCTGTCATAAGCCTTCTCAAGGTCGATAAAGACCATGTGCAAGTCCTTCTTTCGGTCCCTATATCTCTCCATCAACTATCGTATTAGAAAAATCGCTTCCATGGTCGACCTTCCAGGCATAAACCCAAATTAGTTTTGAGTCACACTCGTCACTCGTCGTAGGCGATGCTCGATAACCCTCTCTCAGAGCTTCATCGTATGACTCATCAACTTAATCCCACAGTAGTTACCACAGCTTTGAATATCACCCTTGTTCTTGAAGATCGGTACTAAAGTACTTCTCCTCCATTCATCAGGCTTCTTGTTTAACCGAAAAATGAGGTTAAAAAGCTTAGTTAGCCATACTAACGCTCTGGCGCCAAAGCATCTCCACACCTCAATGGGGATACCATCAGGGCCCATTGCTTTACCTCCCTTCATCCTCTTCATAGCCTCTCCGATCTCTACCTCTTGAATTCTCCTCACCAAGTGTCTATTGGTATCCTCAAATGAGTCATCCAACTCCAGGGTAGGACCCCCACTCTCCCCATTAAACAATTTGTCGAAGTACTCTCTCCATCTGTCCTTGATTTCCCTATCCTTCACCAGTGGCTGATCCGACTCATCCTTGATGCATTTGATTTGGTTGATTTCCCAGTCTTCCTCTCCCGAATCCTAGCTATTCTATAAATGTCCTTCTCCCCCTCCTTCGTGCCTAGGCATTGATAAAGGTCATCATAGGCCTGACCCTTCGCTACACTCACGACACGCTTTGCAGCCCTCCTCGCTATTTTATAGCTCTCAATGTTAGTTGCACTCTTGTCAAGGTGGAGACGCTTGAAACACTCCTTCTTCTCCTGAATATTCCTTTGCACCTTGTCATTTCACCACCAAGTGTCTTTCGCATCCTGCTTGTCTCCCCTACTCACACCAAGTACTTTTACAGCCACCTTCTATACACATGTCGCATAACATAAAATGTACGACGTTCGATTTGGATCGATTCTAGAATATGCGCAACGTTAACGCATATAGTAAATTAAGAGGTGGATTTGGATATGCGATTTGTAAACTATGCAAAAAATCCATTGCATAACATAAAATATACGACGTTTGATTTGGATATGTAAGTCATGAATATGCGAAACATTATCGCATATGAAAAATTATGCGGTGGGTTTGGACATGCGTTTGTATGTATACGACAAAATTTCGCATAATTGTTAGTTACACTGTTCTTTTGGATAGACAATTTAATATCGCATATAATTTCATGAGTGTTGGGAGTACAAATTGCATGTAAATATTGGGGTGTAGAAAGAAATTCGCCCAAAATATAAAATACTTAAAAGCTTACACTGATCCAATTGTCTCCTAATTTTATCAGCATTCCTCTACAAAAAAATAACCAAACCTCTTCATACATCACTACGAAAAAAAAAAACACACACACACACACACACGACATTTGGTCTATAAGAACTTTGTGACAGACAAATCTTAGCTTATGCACACTCCCAACCCCAGTTAGGTTCATTAAACCTAAAACTCACAACTAGTATCTGAAGAGAACACCAAAGCACCTAATAAGAAAAGAAGACAAATATAACACTTTTTTTTTTTTTCATTCGTCCCTAAAAAGAGCGCGGTCTTTGGACCTCTTGACCGCCTTATTAAACTGGAACACGGGGTGCCTCCTCAGCCTCTGCATGCCCTTCCGGAGACTTATACGGTTCAATATCCCCTCGGCCTCCATTTTCTCATACTCGTCCTTGAAGCTGTGCTCCAACGTCCGCCTCTTGCGCAAGCCTTGCTCGAATTTCTCCCCCCCATCGCTTTTGCTTCTCATGCTCAGTGAGTGGTCTATGTTGTCAGATTCAAGCCTCTCCAGGGTGCAGCTTCTTATAAGAAGGTCATTAGGGGCAAGTGCTTCCTTACACGACCCGCCTTCAACAACTAATTGCTCGTTTACGGCTATATCGGACATGCTTGACAGGGGTGAGCAGTCTCGTGCTGTTTTGAAAGAATCATTACATTCTGTGTATGCATTGGTGGGAGACATTTCTTGCCTTTGCCTGATGGTTTTTCCTATGAGCGTCTTGAGGAAGTTCATGACTTGGACGGCGTGGATCAATGCTGTTAAAGGGTCGGCCATCTGAAAATGGAATTAGTACATTAAGATTCAAATTTGTTTTGTCAAGACATTCCCCATACAATTGAAAAGTAAAATTAAATACTTAAATATCAATTCGAGTCCAAAAGCAGAAGAATAAAACATGTCCAGAATCAGAATTACCAGCACCAAATCAACCAAATATGCAAGTAATATGTGAGACTTAAAAAAATGGGGTAAAAGCAAAGAATAATTACAAGGACAAAAATGAACCAGCAAGTGAAAGCACCTGAGTCATGTTGGGGGCAAACACCATGGCTATGTTGCGAGCATTCATCTTGTTGTGATGTTCGTGCTGCACCACATCAGCCATTAGGTTAATAGCCCAGTCGAGCAACGCGGCTTCGGTAGGTGGAAGAAGTTTCACGAGCAACGTGCACTCTTCCTCTGTGTTGCAGTGCATCACCTGTTCTGGGGTCAACGAGTCAAGAACACCCGATGGAAGTTCTCTAAACCATGCCTGTTTATTGATAAAAGCAGAGTAATAAATACACCTTCAGCCAAGCATTGTGCCAACGGAGGACTTCTGACTCGTATGGACATCATGTTGTATATGTTCGAACAAACTATTTAATTCGTCAATGTAACATATATATGTTGTTCAGGCACTTAAATGAAGCATAAGAAAAAACAAGACAAGAAAAATGGCGTAAAAATGTCAACAAGTGATTTATTGTTCATTCACCTCTCTAGTTAGTGTTTGTAAGCGAGCACTCCCTAACCAGTTACTCATTGCTATGTCTCACTTCAAAAAGAAGAATCAAAAATGAAAAAGTTACAGTGTGCTTATTATTAAATACTAAAATTTTAACTCAACTTTAATATAACTCTGCTATTCTCGATATTATCAATATAATTATGTAATACCAATCAACCATTCTTGCACATCACATCAATTTTAATTTTCTATTCATCCACTCAAATAATTTTAACTAACTATCACTTCACATCATCTCTTTCCTACGTTTATACCAAATCAATTTTAATTAGTATTTTTATATTATTTTAATATAAAATCAAAATCTCTCCAACAACCAACTATAACACCTTTTTCAACCTACTTGGTTTAAGAAAAACCCGTTTTGAGCAAATCTATTTGTATCCAAGCACGCATAAGGAGTTCACATCATCTCTCTCATACTTTCACATCAAATCAACTATAATTACTTTTTTATAATATTTTAATTTAAACTAAAAAATCTCACTAACAACTAACTATATCATCCTATTCAAAATCAACACTAGTTAACCGAAAAAAACCCATTTTGAACAAATTTATTTGTATCCAAACATGCCTAAGGCTTGGCCTTCGATATTACTAATCTAAACGAATAACACGTCGCCAAAAAATGGATAAACGATACTTTCGATTATTGGCCTCTATGAACCCGATCTGAAAGCGGAGCACATAGCAGAGCAATTACAACTTGCAAGAGTCAACCATGAGAAAAACAACCAAGATTTACTCTGTTAACAAACAATGAACTCACTTGTCGATGGTGGTAGCTAGGTTTCATAATTACTACTCTCATTCATTTAATATTAACAACATACAAAAGAAGAAGGGATGAGCTGGAAACATGTGTTGTGAAGAGTGGAGGGGAAAATTTAAGATACCTTTATCAGCCCAGATAAACAATGGACATCAATCCCATGTGGGACAACCCCTTTGTTCAGCTGCTTACGGACACTTTCTTCCTGCCCGTTGTCGGCATTTATTCGGAAAATTCCTTCTGCCTGAAAAAAATCATCATCGCACACAACATTATATACAGTATATGAACACACTAAGTAGTAATGGTGATTATTATGATATAAATTCATATAGTTACTTGGAGGCCACCGGCTGAGTACAAACGGGTTTGCATTGTGAGAAGAATGGTAGGGACACTGTTTCCTCTGAGGTCATAAGAACACTGCATTGACTGTGCAGATACTCCAAACACGCTTGCACTGTTAACGTTATCATTGTTAGTCGGATTTTGAGTTTGTATTAAAATCATAATAACTTCATAGTTATTAAAATAATCGGGATTCTCTGTGGCGAAATAAGTACTAAAATCTTATATGAGGACAAAAGACAGCGATTTGCGTTTAGATAAGTTTCGCTTTCATAATTTCTATTATGAGATTCGTAAATAATGACCAGCCTAGACTTAATAATATAAGAAAATGAAATTCACCAAAATTTAGAGCTACCAGCTATATTATTGGGAAATGTTACGATCCATTCCGTCGAGGTTTGTAACCGTTAGATCAACTATCATCGACGGCTACATGATGCTCTAACAATTACAAACCAGGACAGAATAGTTCGGGACCTAACATCTTTCTGTATAAAATTGGATGCAACACGTGCATGCACACGCAATTATTTCTCGCCCACCCACCATACTCATTCCTTATCTCCATCATTTGTAGCTAACCATTCAATTTAAATTTAAGGAATAATTAATTAATAGAAAAGGCCATAAGATTTGGGTCATTACGAAAATATTCAAATTTGCATAATTTCTTTCGTGATGACCATTTTGGCCCATTTTTATGATTATATTATTAAACCCTTTTTAAAAATATTAATATTATTTTTCAGTAGTTGCTGCTCCTAGTATTATTATTTTTTAAAATTAATTTTTCACGTCACAATTTGTGAAAATACAATGAATTCAATTAAAAATAAAAAAAAAAATAACTGAGAACACGGAAAATGAGGTTAACAGATTACAGATCCCAACCTGGCGCTGGGGGGTTTTCGAGGGACTTCGGGCTGGAGCTCGACCGGCAGGCCCAGGAACCCATCAAACCGGTCGAACGTGACGTGGGACACGTGGCGCACGTCTGTGGGCCATCCGATGTCCACGTCCGACATGACGTCGTCTGCCTCCACGCTGCACGTCACCAACGACCTCCGCAGCGCCGCCGCTACAACCGCCAGCACCGAGAACTGCGATTGACTATTATTCCTATTGTTATTATTATTCTCCGATTCACAGCTCCGGCAGTTCACCGCCGGGCTGATAAACGGCGTCGTCGCCGGATTATCGGAATCGTCTTCGTCGTCATCCTCCTCACTGTTGAAATCCCCAAAGTACCCCTCATCCTCGTCCCCTTCCTCCTCGTCGGCGGAGGGGCTGTAAGGGGAGGAGGCCCCCGCCGCCGCCGGCACTGGATTTCGATCTCCGACAGAACACGACTTGGATCGGAATAGGATTGCCATGGATTTCGTGCTTGTCGGAGAAAAAGAAAATGTAAAGAAGAATGATGAGTGGGGGAGGACTGTTCCAGATATGGAACGATAGCAGGTGAAAAAAATAAATTGAGAGTGAGGGGAAAACGATAAAATAAATAAATAAAAATTTATTTATTCTTAATAATAATAAAGTGAAAATGTACGAGTTTTGTAAGTATCGGAAATTGCAAGTTTAGTCCTCTGTCAAAAAATGTATTGCATTTTGGAGAGGCACAGAGAGGGTCGGTCACGGGGTTGTGAAGATAAACAGATGAGACAGTGAGGAGATGAATTGGAGTTTGGAAGTTTGCCTGTCTTTGGTGTTCTTTAGGAAATGCTTTCGTTTCCCTATTTTTATTTATTATTTATTATAACAAATGCTCAAATAAACTATACTTCCTATTTAACCTTTTCCGAGATTTTACGGTCTCGTTACGAAATCATGAAAATCTAACAGTTAAAAATTCTGATGGAATGGTACCGTAAGTAGCATTTTTCCTTCAATAGATTATGTTAGTTTTGGTATTAGTATATACACTAGTACAACACCCGAGTGCTTGCTAATTTTTTTCTTAAAATCTAAAATTAATGAGAAAAAAATAGTTGAAAATTTAAATACCTTTTATAAAAATATATATTAGTATATTTAGTATAACATTTTTTATTTGTGCGACTTACATGTGTTATATTATAATAATTTTTTAACTTACAACATATAATTACATTAAACATAAATATATGAATTGAAAAATAATTTTATTTTTCTAATGAATTTTAATAAATATTATTTTTTTAATATTATAAAGATAAATATAATTTATTTATTTCATATATACCATATGGATGTCAAATCGAAGATCATCAAAAGATGATTAATTTGATATATTATATATGCAAAACCGATAAAAAATACAAAAGTTATCAACTTTTAAAATACATTTACAATTCAATGGCTAATTCAAGGAAACAAATTAAAAGTCAAGGATATATTAGTCACTTAGTGTCTTACTATATAAAATTACAAAGAATTAAAGGATTATATTAGTACAAGTGATATTAAAATACCTAAGTTAGCTA